GGTTGTATAAAATTCAATGGAAAGTGGGAGAAATGAGGACTGCTGGAGGAAACAGTCATATCAAGACTCAGATTAGGACACACAGGGTTAAATAAATCATTATTTATGATTGGAAAACATAATACTGGAAAATGTGATTACTGTGGAGAAGATGAGGGTATAGAACATGTTTTAATACATTGCAAAAAATACCAAAATGAAAGAAATCAATTGATTAAAAGACTCAACGAAATTAAAATAAGATTTGATATTATAGAAATATTACGAAGCAATTCAAATTCTGAAACCTTTCAATTGTTATTGAAGTATTTAAGACAGACTCGATTGTATGAAAGAATATAGTTTATTTTTAGAGCTGTTCCAGTCCACACTCCACACCAGTAGGTGGCGGTAATGCAACTTAACGTTGTTTGCCAACCGCCAAGAAATAACTAAGAAGAAGAAGAAAAGAAGAAGAAGAAGAAAGAAGCGGATGTGACGTCGTACGTTGCTTCAGATTACGTTCGTAGAACACAAACAAACATGTCCGACATCGTAGAGGAGCCGCCAGTGTATTTAGCAATTAGCAACATTCCCGTAGTTTTCCGCTCAGCAGACCTGAGAAATTACTTCAGTCAGTTCATAGAAAGCGGTGGTTTCCGTTGTTTTCATTATCGACATCGGCCGGAGGTACTCCGAGAGTCCGAGGGGATCGAAAGCACGACCGGTACCACCACGACGGTGTGTGGTGGAGACGAACCGTCCGGCACCGAGTCCGAGGCTCCCGAATCAACAACAAAGAGCAGCTCGTTGTCCACACCGGCGGTGAAGTCGTGCTGTTGTATCGTGTCAGTCGGTGCTAAAGATGCCGACAGGCTCATCAGGATGTACGCGGGGAACCACTGGATCGACTCGAAGGGCAGCTGGCTGACCAGACGCTGCGTCATCAGGAGAATAAAGGTTTCAGCTGACAAAGGTTGGTGAGAGGTTCAAAACAATGGAGAAGTGTTAACAGAGGTGTCAAAGTATAAATACTAGGGTTTAAAAATACTTTTTTGGAAGTAAAGTATCAACTTAAGCTTTTGACTCATGTAAAAGTTTAAAGTTCTGGTTTTAAAACTACTTAAAGTATAAAAGTAAAAGTAATGAATACTTTAAAAAAGCCATTAAAGATAAAAGCTTAGGCTGTGCCACAGGGTCCTATAGCATCCCCCCACTCTTCTAAAGTCAATAATGAGTATAATGTTAAATTAAAATGTTAATGTTGAAAATTTTGGAATTAACTGACTAGACAACTTATTTCAGCCACAATAATCTTCATTCTAAGCTACGTCTGCTACAGTCTGTCCTGCTGGGATGTGATGTGATTTGTGTCATACAGGTATGAAGGAGTGCGTTCAAACCAATAGGATGTCAGAATGGTAWATACAGTATTTACACTTCTCATCCAGCCACAGTCATATTCACTCTATCCAAGTGCTGCATGTATCTGGATAGAGTTCTGTTTATATATTTATGTTTCTGAACAATAAAAAGATGGAATAAAAACAAGTCAAATAGAAATGAAATACTTTTTGCATTTTTAAAAAGTAAGAAGTAGAAGTAAAAACAGGCTGAAAAACTAAGTACTCCACTATAGTATAAATAACCAAAATGTCTACTTACGTAAAGTTAGGGCTGGGCGGAATGACCTCAAATTCATATCAMGGTATAAATTGAACCCCTTTCACGATAACGGTATATATCGCGGTAGAAATTATCATAAAAACTTAAGATAATGTAATTTTTAGCATTATATTTTTTTGCAAAAAAACTGCGATCTTAATTAAACACAACATTGTTTTGCTTTAATGTCTGCCTGCCAAACAATGAGCTTCTTCCTGCTGAACTTATCTGCTGCGCGCTCATCCACTTTACATTAGCAAGATGGATTTATGACTGAACGAACGTCCACGTCTTTTTTTTTTATCATCTCTGTCTGTAACAATACATAAAAAACTTTTTTTTCCTCCGACAATTGGGTGTGAAAAACTACAGTTGTTAAAGCTTCGCTCTGCGCGACGTGCAGCGGGAGGAGGGAGGAAATGATCCCGCCACACAACATAACTTTTCTACAGCGGGAGGAGGAAATTTTGAGGATTTATTCTCTCTACACGTGTTTTAAAACMCTATAATTTATTCATTATATTTTGAACTCCTGCTCACTCGTCTCTGCACTCGCAGCCCTGTTGACACAGGTGTGATGACGTAACGACGATAGGAAGGTAGACGGTAAATTTCTACTGTAGGCCAACTTCATACCGTTTCTACCATCTAAATACTGCGCAGCCCTAAAAAGTAACAAAGTATTTGTACTTAGTTACTTGGCACCTCTGAGAATTAAAGAGAGAGTTTTTCTGTGTCATGGCTAGCCTTTTCGCCAGGGCAGAGATGCGGGAAATAAACAAAGTGGAAACTGTGTGGTCTCGATCTCAGATTATTTAATAGAAAGGTGCATAATGCAAAGACTGAGCAGAGCCGGACAGACGCGAATCGAAGCGTCTGTCGAGCTCTCGCTGACCCGGAAACAGGAAAACAGACAATATATACATCCTGCTAACAAAATAAGAGCGTCAGAGATATCCAGGAAACCAGTGACATGGTTACAAGTAAATAGGCCATAAGATTACATGGGTACATACAGTATCTTAAGAGTCACGAGAAACAGATTATAYAATGGCAGTTTATCAAGAGATACAGAACAGGACATGTCAAGGTAATATGCAGTTAGAGAGTCAAGATATTCTTCCACCACATCTGTTAAGCTGCTGAGGCTCTATAACGTGTGGCCCGCCACACAAAGACCAAGGACAGTAATTAATGAATACTGGGCAAATTTTAATGAAACTCTTAAAAAATAATCACTGTACATCTACAGTGTATAAATGTGAAGCTCTGTMTTTTTACTTGTTAATGCCTGAATATTTGTCTTATTTATTCATCACATGATTGTTTATACATTTTCTTTTTATGTTCTTCCAGGTGAAGGGTCATTCCCCTACAAAACAAAGTACGAGCAGCGTCACCGCGTCTCCTTAACGGAGCATTTCACCGAGGCTGACCTCCAGAGCTTACCCGAGCTGAACCCACCCGCTCTGATGCAGAACGGGAACGTGGGCACGCCCGTCAACGCCTTCCTCCGGCTCATCCAGTGCTGTCGCCTGCCTCCACGCCTCATCCGGAAGCTGGGTCTCACTTTCCCCAAAACGAGCTCCAGCCGTCGGTACGGAAACGTGCCGTTCCAGTACCGCAACACGCGCATCCTGCCGGCCACGGAGGAGACCGTGTTAACAGCCGCTGGACACGAAATCTCAGGACCGGGCACGTGGACAGCTCCGTCTTCAAGATCAAGACCGCTGGCCGAGGACGCGCCAGAATCCGAGGCGGCTGACGAGACGCAGAACGAGGAGGAAGGGGAGGACGCGCAGTCGAACGCAGACGATGTGGGTTTAGATGAACCTGTCAGTCTGTCAAAACGACAGCAGAATCTGTCATTGTGATTCACGAATCATTTACGTGGCTGTTTGCAGGACGACGACGGCTGTGAAGAGTGGGAACGCCACGAGGCTTTGCACGACGACGTCACGAGCCAGGAGCGGACCAAAGAACGGCTGTATGAAGAGGAGATCGAGTTGAAGTGGGAAAAAGGAGGTTCGGGTTTGGTGTTTTACACAGACGCCCAGTACTGGCAAGAGGAGGAGGAAGGAGGTAGGTGGAAAGAACTAGRAAAACTGCATTTTGTGTGATAAAAAGTTGTGAATGCTGAAAAAATTTACTAAAACGTTAAAACAAGCAGAACAAGTAAAATCAACTAAATGGTCGCTAAAAGCACAAATCTGCAAGACTRTGGCTATAAGCTTATAGTTTTAATGTACTAGTATTTAATAACGTGTTTATTTAAAGTATGTGTTTATCCTAAATAAGGTCTATTTTTTTATGAAACAATCTGTTCTTTTTCTAGATTTTGATGAGCAAACAGCCGACGACTGGGACGTCGACATGAGTGTTTATTATGACAAAGGTAACAGTCTTCTTTTACAACTTTAATTAATCTCAGTTAAGAACAGGATTATGTATTTTACAGCCAGATTTTTTGTATCTCTGTTGTTTCCCGCACAGATGGAGGTGACATGGATGCTCGGGACTATATCAAGATGCGGTATGAGAAGCGGCTGAGGGATGGTCTTGAAGTTGGATCAGGGCAGAACCGGTCTATTGGCAGCTTTGAGAGGTTCTCTAAGGTAAGGAAGCTGCTGCAGGTATTTTGCTTTTTATGTTGGTTTTTTTGGGAATTTTCCTGACTTTTTTCTTTTCTTTTTGGGTGTAGGGTTTTGGTCGACGTATGATGGAGAAACAGGGCTGGAAAGATGGTGATGGGTTAGGAAACAGCCAAATTGGGATTCCCGAAGCTTTAGAGAATGAAGGTCAACATCCTCATTGCAAAAGAGGCTTTGGGTTAGTTCAAACAAAAACWATGAAATTTAAAGGTAATTTCTTTTGTTTAATTGATACTAACAGCTGATTTTTTTCTGCAGATATCATGGAGAAAAACTATTATTACATCCTGTAAAAAAGGCCAGACCAGACCATCTTATAAGTACAGTTTACGATCAACCCAAAGACATTGATAAAGGTGATAGTTTGCTGAGACGCCAACCCAGCACCAGCATGAAGTACAGAGGATGGCAACCAGGTGGCAGCATTGGGCCAAAAAGATGATGGATTCTGTTTTCCAATACCTGGATACTGTTCTTTATGTCTGTTTGTATTTAAAAAATAAAATTATTTAAACTTTTCAGTCAGTATGTGCATATTTTATATT